GGGGGGGGGGGGGGGGGGGGGGAGGGGATTGGGTATCCGTACGTCGTCAAGCGGCTGCAGTAAAAATTCTCCGCATCCGTCCTTGGCAGCCAAAGTGCGCAGGACGAAATACGTAGAGGCATAGTCAGACGCTGACCAACCAACCGACACACACACACGCACACACACACACACACACCATCCACCAGTGCGACTGCACTGCCCGGTGTGTTCATGGATGGGCGTACCCTTGACGCTGAGTTGGTAGTCGACGAGTTGCAGGAAGACCCTCTCCATGTTGTTGATCTCCTCCAGATTGAACACGGGAAACGCCGCAGCGAAATCGGCGTTCTCGTACGACTCATCGTCCCACACCTGACCACACACACACACAGCGCACGCGCCGCCCACAAATTGGCTTTCTTGTTTTGGTCTGTGTGTGTTGTGTGTGTCGGTTGTGCGCGGTTGCGTGCCTTTGATGCGAGCAGCAGCGCGGTGATGATGAGTCGCCGCCAGTTGTCGGGGATGAAGCGGACGCCGCCCTTCTGCATCAACCTGCACACACACAGACACAAAGACACACACACGTGTGTACTCTGCGTGGCTGTCAGTCAGTATGAGTGAGTCTCTGCGGTGGTGTAGCAATCCATCCGAAGACACACACACGCACGCGCACGCACCTCTCGATGTAGAGTAGACAGATGACGTTGATCTCGGGCTCCATGCGGGTCGTCACCTGCAGCCACACAATCACACACACACACACACGTGCCCGTGTGCCGCTGGCGTGTGGACGGATCTGCGAGTGTATGTGAGCGTACCACGATGTTTTTGATGAAGTTGTAGAGGCACTGGAGGTCGGGGGCGCGGCGGTTGACAAACGTGTTCCACAAAGACTTGTTGGACAGACGCGACGAACTGCACACAAGCCAAGTCAACACCCACCCCAACACATTAGCCCGCCCTCTCCCTCCTCCCAGCACCTCTCTGTGTCTGTGTGTGTGTGTGATTGTGATTGTGTACTCTTCGCTGTCTCTGTGGCTGGCCATTGGCGAGTCGTCAGACGATTCCTCCTCCGAAGGGATGTCGATGTCGCTACCGATCGACATCAGAGACGTGTAAGGGTGGCGGTCTGAGCAACACACACACACAGGGAGGGGCGTGTCCATCGATGCATGCCGTCTCCGTGTGTGTGAATGACCTTTCTGCATCTGTCTGGCATTGTCTCTGAGTTTCTTGAGTGCATCGGGCTCCAGGAACACAGACGCCAAGCGCATCGTCAAAGGGTTGGCTGCACCACACGCACCAGACAGAGCGACAGACAGACAGACAGACAGACAGATAAACGTGCCGAAGGTGTCGAATGCGTGTGTGTGTGCTGGTGTGGGTGCATGTCTGTCGTGTATCGGCCAGTGCAGTGCCTACCGTTGTGTGGGGTGGGGTTGCGGAGAGCGACGATCAGGTGGTTGTGCAGCGCCACGGCCAGATACCTGTAGTATGTGAGCAACGTCAAGACACACACAGAATAG